TGGTCCAGACTCGATTATTTACAGACCCCCATCATGGTTGGAATATTGCTGAATGCGGCATTAAACAACAAACAAACAAAATTGGTAAACATACTACCATCTGTCCTGAAACGTTGCACTGAAAAAATAAGGAAATGAAATCCATAAGTGAACTCTGTCTTCAAGACATAAACTGTACATGCTACTTTCACACAATGTGTTTGGTACAACCTGACAGTCTAATGCATTACCCATTCCATGGAGAATATTTTGTTTAGGCCAATAATTCCTCACTCATTTTCAAAAGAACTACAACTGACAACCTTATCATTGAACAGGTCCTGCCGATACAGATTAATTATTGAGCAGGGACTGGTCTAAATCCCTATTGTCACACCATCTAGATTGTCTCTCTGGACTTAACTGACAGTGACATCTCACCAAAGAACCCTACAATACCAGTACTCTGAAACTGATAAGGTGTGACGTTTTTCTGGTGAAGCCAAATCTATTACCTGTCCTCACTTTGAACAGGTCCCAGATTAAAGTGATCACAACAGACAGGCTACACTCTGTGGACATTGCCTATGTAGCAGCCTAATTCCAGTCTTAGCCATCGTGTCACTGTATCCGTCTGTCCAGTGCAAACATATATATGTGTATAGTGCAAAGTATTCAGGTACAGATCCAACCTTGCTATCTTCAAAACCCTACAACCTATACTCAGCTTCCTAGATGGCTGTGTTGCGGTAACTCGAGGTGAGGAGATTATTGCATCAGTTGAGCGGCAATAGCACGAAGGTACTGTAATCAAGGGATCTGAGTGTGCGTTTCCCAGGAGCCAGGGAAGCTAGTGAGCAGGGAAGTGTCACTGACAGGCAGGCCTGGATCAAAGTGGCTGCTACAGACTGGTGGTGCTGGAGGGCAGAGGACACACTCCGCCACAGCACATCATCAGCTGTGCAGCCTTCTGCAACACTGGCTGTACTCAAGGGCCACAGCAATTGGTTTCCTTTGCCCGTGGGGTCTTCGTCTTTTTCTGTTGGGATCTAAGTAAGACTGTCTTGCCGGTGGTGGGATGGTGGACTTTTTCAGTCAGGATCTAAGCTGCCCCTTGATGAGGATCTTTGTCCTTTTTACTTAGGATATGAGTGAGACTGGTGTCCCTGGCCTAGGGGATCTTTGACTTTTTAAGTTAGGCTTTTTATGTTAGATTGGTGGTTGCTGGATTTTCCTGTTCCATTCGATCTTAATCATTATAAGTTAGATTCTAAGCAAGATTAGTGTTCCTTGCTTATGGGATCTTAATCGTTTTGATTCAGGATCTAAGCTAGACTAGTGTCATTTGTATATGGGATCTTAATCGTTTTAATTCAGGATCTAAGCTAGACTAGTGTCGTTTGTATATGGGATCTTAATCGTTTTAAGTCAGGGTCTAAGCTAGACTAGTATTGTTTGTATATGGGATCTTAATCGTTTTAATTCAGGATCTAAGCTAGACTAGTGTCGTTTGTATATGGGATCTTAATCGTTTTAAGTCAGGGTCTAAGCTAGACTAGTATTGTTTGTCTATGGGAACTTAATCATTTTAAGTTAAGATCTATGGGTGCCCAACTGAGAGCTGAGAATGTTTTGAATGTACAGTGAACCTTGGACTTGGGTTAGATGTACGAAGGTTTCCGACTGATAATGAGGTAGTAAGACCTGATGGGGGATTGGTGAAAAAGTAAGACATCATGGAATTTTCATGTGAACCAATAAAGGCTTTTAACCAGTCAAAAATCAACATTAGATGCGAATTAATTAATATTGTTCAAAAGTGAAACCTCAAGCAGGTCTTACTTATGACTTGTGAGAAATAAAAGCTCAAAGCAGGTCTTGCTTGTGAAAAATAAAACCTCAAAGCAGATCTTACTTTAGAGAAATAAAACCTTAAAGCTGATCTTACTTTAGAGAAATAAAACCTTAAAGCAGGTCTCACTTGAGAGAAATAAAACCTCAAAGCGCATCTTACTTGAGAGAAATAAAACCTCAAGGCGGATCTTACTATAGAGAAATAAAACCTCAAAGCGGATCTTACTTTAGAGAAATAAAACCTTAAAGCAGGTCTCACTTGAGAGAAATAAAACCTCAAAGCGGATCTTACTTGAGAGAAATAAAACCTCAAAGCGGATCTTACTTGTGAGAAATATAACCTCAAAGTGGGTCTTGCATGCGAAAAATAAAACCTCAAAGCGGATCTTCGGGGATGTCAGCAGGTTTTCCCGAAGAAAGAGGAAACGTCTAGCGGGGTCTGGGGCATGCCCCCTCAGAAATTTTTTAATACATTTGATTGCATTTTAAGCAATTTCATGCAGTTTGGACAACATTCACACCCAGAAATGTAATAAGTCAATGGCAAAAGTCAATAAGTCAAATACACAGAGATGCCGGATGCAGTAAAATTTCAAAGTTCAATCAGTATTTTTTAAAAATTGGGCATAGCTTCCGTGCACCCGGCTACCTGCCGGGTCTGGGAGCAATACTGCCATAAACTTCATCCCCCATCCCCCATCCCCCATCCCCCAGACACAAGGACAACTGTCACAAGCATGCAATGTCAGACCCTTTCCTCATGTTGACGCATACTGACAAAAAACTCACCTGGTACTTACTTGCCTTTTGTTGAAAAAAACCCCCCAAAAAACTCCATCGCAAACATAAGACATTAATACAACATGTATCCCTGTGTTATGGGTTTTCAGATGCTGAAGAAACATTCATAGTTCTTTTTCTAATCACATGAACAACTGTAAAAAGTCTCCTTCACTTATTGGCTAAAAGACAACTTTATTTTAAAAACAAGCCATCATCTGAGTATTTACAATTTCTGTGTGACGCCACACCCCATGTTATAGTGCAAGTATTCGTGATAGAAAACGTATGATGTCCGAAAACCTATGATGCTGCTGAAAGCTCTGATCAAAAACAGGACAATCCGCAACAGTTGTCCGGTTTTTGATAACATTTTTCAGAGTGTTTTCTTTGATTATATTTTTACGCAGAAGATGATTTTTTCCGAGGACTACTGTTTTAAAAACACAATTTTCCGTGTTTCCGCGGAGATTTCACATCCCTGGATCTTACTTGAGAGAAATAAAACCTTAAAGCAGGTCTTCTGAGAATTAAAACCTTAAAATGGATCTTACTTGAGAGAAATTTAACCTTAAAGCAGGTTTTACTTGTGAGAAATAAAACCTCAACATGGGTTTTGTGAGAAGCAAAGCCTCAAAACAGACCTTACTCGAAAGTAAAACCTCCCTATGTATATTTATAGTCCCACCCCGCCCCGGCTTTCAACTTGACTGATGCCAAGTACCTGCTGAAAGGAGAACACCCTATATAGAACAATAGGATGATGCCACTGGAGCTCTGAGTACGCTTGTCTAAAGTCATGCACTACATATGACCATACCGAAGTGAAACCTCATTAATCTGGAAGACTCCTTCCCAGTGAAATCAGCTGAATCAGTATAAACAACTCGAAAGAAGTTAGGAACACTTGATTCTTTCACATGAGTATAGTCAATCTGTCATGCCATGAGTAGCATATTTCCAGGTTTAACCATCACTGATTGTTGTAATTTTGGATTAGTTATGTTTAGACGATCTCATAAGTTGTTGCCCAGAAGATAGTTTTTCAGATTAACAGGGTCCAGACTAATGACATTTCACTGTAAATTGGTACTATTTGGATTATTTGATGACCTCCCTATGAGGCTGAGTGTATGCTATGGCTGAATGATCATGAACATGCTTTAAACTTCCATGTTCAGCTGAAGTGGTGCTTGAATATCTACCATCATAGGCTACACAAAATCTCTGTGTCTATGTGAGTGTGCATGTTGAATGTTAAATACTGCACTCAGCTGTATTCCAGCCCTATGATGGCGGCCTCTAAATAATCCAGTCCAGACAATCCAGTGATTGATATTGAGAACATCGATCTATACCAGTGGGGTACAATGATGCACCATCAACCAAGTCCTCGAGCCTGAACATCTGATGCACTACGTCGCCTCTTACTCCCAGCATCGATTGCTGGGGACCAATTCTAAAGCATAATCCTCACAGGGACATCCAAATTTGAGGTCAATCAAAACTTTCATACTCCCTAACCAACCCTGAGGTATTCTTGGCCAAATAGATACCCAGTAACCATGGAAATGACAACTGTACTGGGAATAGGGCATTTGACCAGGGTAAAATGACATCTTGGTGTTGTTTGACATGGGTGCATGACATCTCAGTTAGTTTGACCTGGGATGCATGACATTTCAATGTTGTTTGACCTGGGATGCATGACATTTCAATGTTGTTTGACCTGGGATGCATGACATTTCAATGTTGTTTGACCTGGGATGCATGACATTTCAGTGTTGTTTGACCTGGGATGCATGACATTTCAATGTTGTTTGACCTGGAATGCATGACATTTCAATGTTGTTTGACAAGGGATGCATGACATTTCAATGTTGTTTGACCTGGAATGCATGACATTTCAATGTTGTTTGACCTGGGATGCATGACATTTCAATGTTGTTTGACCTGGAATGCATGACATTTCAATGTTGTTTGACCTGGAATGCATGACATTTCAATGTTTTTTGACCTGAAAAGCATGACATCTTGGTTTTGTTTGACCAGGGATGCATGAAATCTCAGTGTTGTTTGACCCAGACAACTCATGCTATAGAAACCTAAAACTGCCCATCTTAAGTGAAGTTTTTATTGGGAGTTAACAACCAGACAAATATAAGAGATAAGGTCTTACATAGCTCATATATTCAGGTGATATCCACACAAAGAATCGACTTTACCACCCATCATGGGGAATCAAACCCAGTACTTAGGCCTAACAAAAAAACGCCACAGGGCTTCTCGGACACCGCCACTCTGATGAAGTGGACTTCCACTTACCGGTACCTCCTTACACGAGGATTAGGTGTTAACACAGATAACACAGATAACAAAAACGAACATTATATTAATTATTTTTTGTTTTATTTAGTTCGTTAGTGTCATTCCATTGCATTTTACTATGCACATGACACTGGACAAATATACATATATACACACACTGGCAGTGCAGCTATATCACATTACAGAATACACTTTATACATCAACACCAAGCTCAAGTACAAGTACAACCTCATTCACTGTTAAAGCTCCTTTAAAACTAAAAACACGAATTCTAGTCTCCTTATGGTCTATTTCTGTAAAATTATACAGTTTCTCTCAAAAAGCGGAAGTAAAGTCTAAAATCAAGTTAAAAGCGTCATGAAAATTCGAATTTTCTGTGTCTCTTGTTCTATCTATTCATTTTCTCATTAGTCGTCTTTCCATCATAATGTTATGGAATGGTTTGTCATAAATACTGTTGAGCACCTTCTACATTAGCGCAGCTCAAGTCAGCCTTACTCTCCCCCTTACACCCTATCACAATCCTACCATTTTAGTATCAAATTTCAAAATTAACATTTTCAGATATTTTTCAAATTTATATCATATATTGCGAACAATGAATTCTTAAGAAAAAATAATCTAAATTTAGAAGTCAACAATACTGCCAATCTCACAGTTACATTCAATAACTACAATTATCCAATTTAGCCAACCGAAGGTTCCCTTTCAAAGACAGATATTTACATTCCCCAATAGTGCATCCAAAAACTCCTAAAGTACAACCATGTCCTCTCCCTACGGAACCACCCCCACCGCCCCACCCCCAACCCCTGACCTACTGAGCTGCTCCAGCTGTTCTAACCTCACTGTCAACACTGCAATCTGCATTCAATACCATTATTAACAGACATGAAGCGGTAAAAAAATAATATTTGTTAGCATTTATACAAGACAACATGGCATAATGATGTTCTGTACACTATTTACAATGAAATAAAATGACACAATATTTCATGGAAGAAAAGATGGAAGATTAAATGTGACAACTATACAACTGATTCTTAAAATCTTTGGCAATCCATCACAGTTGCTGTAATATCATACAGAAGCATAGTAGGCTCCCTTTAACTTAGCCCATAACATCAGGCCTCAACCCTTGTGTGTACACAAGAATGAGGTATGATGTTTCAGGCTGTACATACATTTGTACACAAAACAACCACAGCATTGCCCTATAAATATTCTGATTAAAAACATAAAAATGTCGCCCAATTATTATGTAATTTTGATTATTCAGCTAAACTTCTGAGCTCTTCCCTTCTTTTATTATGTCTTGTCAAGCATGGTTTTCTTGGTTGAGAGATCTTGTAATAAACATACTTTGGTATGCTTCATTGATTTTTATATCAATTTTGAAGAAATTAAATTAATAATTCTAATTTTAGATCATAAAATTCTTTCACACCTCTTTCTTAACAAAAATATGAATATTCATGAATTAAATACATTAAAAAACACATTCTAATCCAGATCAGGAGAAATGATATCAGTATGCCTCGTTGTATAAAACGTGTATAATGCATTGACCCAGATATGAATATAACAGTATAATGATTCCATTCATTCTCTCACACTAGTGTCACTTGGGACTGACTACAATTTGCAGGTGGAAATGTGGGCAATCCTCTTTGAAAGCCAAATGTAAGTGCTCAGAGGCCTATTTGGTAAACTGTGACTCGCTTTGGGGAGCTACCCATAGTGTCAACATAGCCGTCAATATGGGAGCGTCGCTACGGTGACGCAATGTTTACCTTAGTCAGGTGCTCCCAGAACATGTGAGAAAACAAATGAAATATATACCTATACCTTGTGACCAAAAATTTGTTTGTTTTTAAAGATACTATTTAAAATAAATAAAACATTTTTTTTAAATAATATATTTTTTTTTAATAAAAATTGTTTTATATTAAAATTCGACAAATGGTCCCAAGGGGGTGTTGGAAAACATAAACTCCTAGAATATTATCAAGCAAAAAGATGACATCTGTGGAAGAATAATGCCTCTAAGGCTAACAACTATCACTGGCCTTGCTAAACTCACGATGTAGTCCTTTTATGTACAGTCAATACTTGTAGGTTGTAGGAACACTTACACTGAATATATAAGTATTGGTTTCATCAACATGATTCAAACAGTCTTTATCAAGCAACAATGCTAAAACATCATTGATAACAATTCAGGAACAAATGACTTATGTGATTAATTAATAAAATGTGATTTTGAAGAATGTAGATCCAAAAAAATATTTGAAGCTTGTTGTTGAACCAACTGTTATAAACATGTGATTGTATATTTTTTTTATATACATAGATAATTTGAGTACTGTACAGAACAGGTAACAACCATTGAGATTTAAGTGATATGCTCCAAGAGTTTGATGTCACATGATTATTCAAGATGGATAACTGCTAAATGCACCTCATTGTTGAAGTGTTCACTTTGAAAATGGCATGAGAAACATGTGCTGGAATCAGGGTTAATTAATTCCATGATACCAATAAGATGCAGGGATGACTACTACTACAAGCACTGTAATACTAAGACTTGTCTTATCGTTTCACAGAAAAACACTTAGCTCTGCATTCATAACTAAAGCTATATCCCTGCTTCTTGATGAAAATTTGGTAACTTGTGACCTTCCTTGCCATGGTAACCACTGGTTACCTTGACGACATCAGCACCGTATGACAATTTTGAGCACATAATTGAGTATCGTCCACAAATACTTTCGCATTGTATCAATTTAGATGCTTTAATTTGAATGTTTGTGAGATCACTATCTCCCTCAGTGCAAGCCGACATCTCATGGAACATTCGATGTTTGACTCACACAGAGAAGTTCTGTTTCTGATAACCACAGTGAACCAAATGTCTGATAACATGGTATCAATATAGCATGTCTTGACTTCTTTCTGATTTACACATAAATATATTTCAGAATATTGGTCCATTTTCCCATAATGTATTGCACAGTGCTTGGAATGTATGCAAACAGTTTGATTGCAGATACAACACAAGTCGCCATTCTGTCTCTTGGTTTCACCAGACACGAGTTAAAGTTTCAGCACAACACTGTAGGTGTTCCTGGAAGATAGCATGATTGCATAGCCAAAATACACAGTTACTAGACCAGCAATGAACTAAGCATAACGTTGGCTATTAGGAATACACCTGAAGGAAATTAAAAGTTTGTCCAGGACACAGGACCTGCCCATGAGGTTGCCATGGGGCTGTTAGCACTATTTCTTGATGGCCTGTAGCCCAGCTACCGCATCAGTAGAGGTCACCACGTCGCCTCATCAGGTGTGTGGGCATCTCAAACTTGCTGGTTGGTCAAAGTTTTCACTCAGAACCATATGCTTTTCTAGCTGACCTAGGCCAGCACAAGCCCAGCACCACAGAAAACATGAGTCAATGTTTGTTTCCCGCTTGCTATAAGTAAACCTTGTTGGATTTAGTCACTGGTTTGGTTTCCACACTTGTATTTAATTTCCCAGGTGTTTTAACGTTCACAACGTAACTAAAACTTTTGTTGTATGGATTTTCTGGTGTGAAATACGTATGGTCCCCTGAAGAAAGTCTGTTGGATCTCTTGCTCAGAGAGATGTTGCGCTCATGATATGGAGAGTCTATGTCACGTGATGCTCTGCACGAGCTTACTTTATAACCGATGAGGAATCCGACGAGCATTGAAAGGACGATGGAGACAACGATTGCGATAGCAAGGGTTTCCGCTGTATTAACTCCTGATGGATCTTGATGAGTGGCATCAATACGACCTCCTGGAAAAAGAAAAGAAGAACATTGTTGTCATATGTTACAGGACTGAGCCGACACTGAGTCTCCATCTGCAGAAAGAAAACATGGTTATTCAAGTCCATATCCAAGGCATCAGACAACCATGTACACTACTCTCCAAAACAAACCCCCCTTTCATCTTGATCTCAACTGGGACAGAACAATTCATGTCACTGTTCTAGTCATGGGGATGTTTGTACAGTACTGGTAAAAATGTGTCTGATATCGATAGGGCTGGTTAAAAAGATCATTAATTGGAATTATTGTCAATGTGAAGAACTATTAATTCTGATCAATATGAAAATGTTGTCATTAAAAATGACATAAACTATTGTGATGAAATAAAGTTTAGATTTACTGAGACAGATGTGTTACTGTCAATAATGTCAATTGTCGAAGACGGAAACTATTTTTGTTACATCTCAAATGTCCACAAAATTATGAATAAACATGTCATTGCTCACAAGTTCTGGAAATATGTTGGTTTCTTTTGGGACTTTCTCGCATATTTATTTAACGTTACTTATCGATAATTGATCGATATTAAGTTATTATTAATCTCAATAATCTATATCAATGGCCAGAACTAGATATAGAACACTGTGTTCCACTGATGTAATCTTGGGGATGTTTGTACAGTACTAGTCAAATTGTGTCGGATATAGAACACTATGTTCCACTGTATAGTGTGTACATATTTGTATATGGATATTTTGTACCTCTATGCTGCTGATAGCGGAGAGTGATTAAAGTTCAGTTCAGATCATAGGGATGTTTGTACAGTACTAGCCAAAACAAAGCTCCATGATTGAGATGAGTTCAGTGCTCAGTTGCAATTGAAGATTTGGTTCAACAGAGTGTACTCCTAAATGCAATATTTCTTGCTTGTGACTTGATTTTGATCCTGTCTGTATGATACACAGACTTGATAAACAGGTATACAATTTGTGAATGCATGAAGGAACTCATCTGTTTTGCCAGTTTTAGACATTGAGACATGTTTTGGATTATAAATCATCTGCCACACAAAGATGGAGTTCTCTATCTAACACAAATGCAAGTACCACATGCAATAGCTATCCAACATTCACTAGACTAATCTATAACATTCATGTTAGTTGTCCATGGCATGGTTAAGACAGACTGCATCGTCAAGTAGTCTTTTCACAATGGCACAATGTTAGTCAGCTACCAAGTTAAGAATGAAGACCAAACTGAACAAACCAAATAGGATACAAATAATATTATTAGCAGATTCTTTGAAAGAGAAATGAAGAAAGATGTAGAGAATGAAGAACTGTGCTTCACATCTTGGATTCTGGAGAGGAAGAGACAGCAGAGTCAAAAGCTCCTTGAGGAGAATAGAACCTATGTCTTATGTGTGATGAGTGATCACATTAACTACTGGGCTACCCAAAAACTGCTAGAGAAAAAGAAAGAGAACGTGTTGGTTTTTCACCTCTTTGAAAATCATTTCAGCTATCACAGCATGATGTGAGAGGAAAGCCCAAAGTGATGCAGGTCATTTACCATTGTGGAGAACCCATGAGGCCGGGTTTGGAGCTGACAAACCCAGAATCATAATCAAACCAAATCTGGGATTCGAACCCATGATTATAGGATGGCAGCTCGCCTAAGTGACACAACTGTGAGCATTGAAATTGTGGCACCTTAGACGACCGGAACATCCAGGCCCCTAGAGAAAGAACTAACTATGGTCAACTAAAGACAGACATGTAGGTAATACAAAGAGTTGAAAGATGTGAATCACCACAGCAATGCATATGCACACACACAAACATAGACAAGCACAAGAGTCTGGAGGCAGGACGAGCAGTCTATGCAAGGTAAACTAGCTACTTGAGGATGAATACCCCTAACCAAGCAGTGAGAGACTAGGTAAGCAAGCGGTTAGAAGCAAACTAAGCAAGCAGAACTACATGAGGATTGCCTCGCCATCGTGAAGAGCTATCAGACAGATGCAGTGTGCCTTACCGTCATATTTAGCTTCAGGGTAGGTTGTCTTGGGAGCGGGTTGTTTTGTAGAAGCCATATTGGGTCCTGATGAGACAAACACAGGGAGAATGAGATGACAGGTTAACCTGGGATATTTCTCACCTCTTGTTATGATGATATTTAGGATGAAATTTCAAATGACAATTAACAGAAGAAAATGAAAATTGAAATAACATTTAAAAAGCAACTGAGGCATGAAAACAGCAAACATCAAAAAGAAAGTTATAATCGAATACAAGTATTTTCTCCAGCGTGTTACAGTGGTGGCCTTAAGAAGGGGAGGCATGCGTGTGTTAGTGTAATAGATTGCAGCACACTTCAGGTCATAAAATTACATTCCATTATGTTACAGTATCTAAATTTCTATTTCAACACATGCTTTTACACTCTGAAATATGGACAAATCTCAAATTATTTGATTATATTGTAGGTTCATGCCACATTTTCTTTTGTAACTTTATGTTTGAGCAGCCAGTGATATTTATTTCTTATTTCATTTTTTTAAGCAATTGTTGATATGTTGTTGATGCCTTGGACATAAACTAACCAATATTGTCAATGACTTCTTCCACCCCAGGTTTAATGGGATCCGTGACCTGGGGACAAACACACTTTTGTGGCACAGTGGCCGTGGCCGGAGTTGTTGTAGTGCTGGTTGATTCTTATAAAATAAGACAAATCAAAACCGTAAAGCAAAGCAGAAAAAAGACATAGGTAAAGAAATGCTTCAAAATATTCATAAGAATTCTTACCAACTGGAACTTAATAAAATCATATTACTTCACATCGAACTATAACTCACATCAAACAAAAATGCTACATAATATTTACAACACCACAACAATAAATAAAGTAGACTACACAGTACGAACAGAACAAAACTCACCGTCAAGGATCTCCACGCCGCAGCCGGAAGATTTGCCAGTTGTGACACTCTGAAGTCTGAACAGCCAAATTGTGTCATTAACACCAATCATACAACAAATGTGAAGAAAAAATAATCAACATGAAAGATTTGACCATATGTACAGACCAAAACACACTTTGCACTACAATCATGGACTTAGGTAGTAACAAAGTAATATACAAACTTGAAACTGACTAAATATTTTGAAAAAAATGATATTAACATTACTGAGCTTTAAATATTTAACTTCTTCCAATACATGGCCAACTAGTGGTCTTAACACTATTGTTACTTCCATACTTCAACATACAACTCCACATTACAATAGTCTCAGCACTACAATCGCTTTGTAGAAGTGGGCTCAGAATAAAGATTATGGCATAGGTTCAAAATCTGCTGAATATGCATTTTGATGCCTTACCCTCTGTTGGTGTTGGAGCACCGGCCATCAACCCAGGAACAATAAGGGTCCTGAAGGCCGACACATGAGTGACACGTGCTTTTGTGGCTGCAGCGATGGAGAGGGATGCTGACCACATTGTCCTTGGAGACGACCACCAACTTTTCATTACCATCACGGCGGTACACCTTGAGGTTGACAATCGTTTCATTCTTCTTCAAGACCTGGATCTCCTCGATAACAACGGTGTGGATCTTGTCTTTCGGACCCTTTTGGGTATTTACAGCTTTAATGACTCTTCCATCATCTGTAATATCAAAATTAAATAAATTACACTGAAAAGGGGCATAAGTATTCTTGTTTTATATGTCAGTACAAACTATCATTAAGTTTATCATTGATGATAACTTATCGCAAAACAAATCGTAATAACATGATAATATTAAGGAGAAACCACTGCTCAACTTACCTGTTCCGATAAACATGATGTCATGGTATTTATCAACTCCACGGATTTGCCAGTCAATTGCGATCTGAGTGAAGCGGGACCTGTAAGAAAACATACATATAAAAACCATGCCACAACAAAAACGATTTTTTTTTAACCAAACATAAACATATGGATAATACAGAGTAAAGGTTAAGTCTAATTTGGTCTCCGCTAGCATATTATTTCCCAGACCACCCACTCTTTAACCAACCATCTTCAAGAAACCACCAAAATGTTGCATCCCATAAACAAAGATGGCTGCCCCAGGGGACATGTCAGTCTGAAATTCACCCCAAGATTCACAGATAAGTAAAGAAAACTGGGAGCTGCCAGGCGCCATGCACAGCCAGCCATTGTTTTCATACAAAATACTCATGGTCTATTGGTAATCGTTGAAGCAAGAGGGGGCATAGATGGTCTGGGACACAACTAGAGGCTATTTAGCCGCAGCACACTAAAGGTGGGGACAATCATGTTGTGACAGTGCTAGATTTCAAATTGTAACAAACTGCTCTGTATCAAAGAATTGGCTGGAAAGACGATCCATTGATAACTAGCTGGATTTTTCACTTGCACTGCGGGACAAAATTACTGGAATTGTGTCTATGCCTTTCTAGTTAGCTTCAAAGACTGGCTCTGTGGTGATAATAAACAGCATAAAGGGGACTTACGTGAAACTTGTCTGAATGAAGAGTGGAGCGCCACCTAGGGCAGGGACAGAACTGTCCATCAATGGGTGGGTCTTGATGAAGTTAAGGGTTGTATCCTCAAGCCTCTGACTACTATTGGAGCACTGGAAATAAAAGGTCTATTGTAACAACCAACCTAGAGTTGCATGGATAAACATACAGATCAGTATGTAGGCAAAACTATTTGTGGTAATATCATAATTCAAAATAGGTTCACTTGACAACTAGTTACAGAGTTGACAAAAACATAGGTGTGGCATGTACAATCATAGGTGGGTGATGTCACCAGAAACGTTTCATTTTGGCTTCATGGTATCATATTGGAATTATTTGAAATACAGTAAAATACGTATGTACTGAACACGCTTACAACAAACTGACCGATATAATGAACTTAATACTTAGTCCAGGCCATATGCTGTATATATGCTTATAACGAACTACGGTTATTACGAACTAATATTAGTGGTCCCTTTGAGTTCATTATAACTGTAGTTTAAATTAGAATAGACAGTGGATGGAATAGGTGACAGTGGATGGAACAAGATGACAGTGGATGGAATAGGTGACAGTGGATGGAACAAGATGACAGTGGATGGAACAAGGTGACAGTGGATGGAACAAGATGACAGTGGATGGAACAAGGTGACAGTGGATGGAACAAGATGACAGTGGATGGAACAAGGTGACAGTGGATGGAACAAGATGACAGTGGATGGAATAGGTGACAGTGGATGGAACAAGATGACAGTGGATGAAACAAGGTGACAGTGGATGGAACAAGATGACAGTGGATGGAACAAGGTGACAGTGGATGGAACAAGATGACAGTGGATGGAATAGGTGACAGTGGATGAAACAAGGTTAAGAGTCTTACCATCTGAGGATGGGGAGCAGGCGTCTCCTCCCTGGGCACGGCCAGCCAGTTGTGCCAGGCAGACTCCTGACCCTTGAACCGGCCTTCAAATGTCTGGACAATGTCAGTGTATCTAAATGCACAGATGGCAGATCCACGGATGGAGTTGCTGCAAGACACAGAGAGATGGTTATTGTGTGTATTCATTTGACAGGAAGTCTTCAATATCACAGACAATATAACAATGATGAACATGATAATAATATGGACTATTTGAATGACTAATATTGCTCCCTCTTTTCTCTTTCTTTCATCATAAGGAGTTATTCTATGTTAATAATACTAAAGCTGCTGATGACAATGACAATAATATGTTGACTAGCTAGGAAACTTACTGTGGTGTGTTGAAGACAGCATAAACCATGTCATATCTACTACCGGAGGAAATCACTGGTCTGAAGTTTCCCTCTCCAAAATCGGATGTTGATTCTAAAAGAACAATTATGAAATACTGTATTAGCAATGGACAAGGTTTCTGAAACATACAATCATATATTCTATCATCTGTTAAAACAATCCCATTTCAGTGTTAAAAGAAACAATGACAAATGACAATTGAAAACTCACGTATTTCATTAAAATAGAATGGGAAATCCCCTGGGATGGAGCAGTTGAGTCGGGCTTTGAAGAAGGACGTCCAAGTGTTGTACAGCAACATCTGGCCTCCCTCGTCACTCTTACAGATGCGAGCGACCCGAGAAAACACAGCCTGAAGGAAACAACAAAGAGATAAATATAAATATATTTTTTTACGTTTCATTTGTATGTATGTTAAAGTGTGCTTATAATGACAGAAAGGTTCATATATATACTTTAGTTACACATAAAATTTGTATATATTGTTTCAGTGGAACTTGTTTCTGTTTTGTAGCCTTTTAAAACAAAATTATCAATCTCAATTATCATTTTTTTTTCAATTATTTTTCTCACCTTGCCACAGTTGATATGTTCAACAGCAGTCTCACGGAAGAAGAAATATATCTTGTCTTGTTTCTCAAAGGAACTTACAAAATTGGGCTCTGGAAACAGAGATAATATACATCATTTTTTAACTGAACATAAATCCTGTTCACTGTTGGTGTCAAGCCAGAATATGTTGTAACTCCTGCACTGGCGCTATCTTATCACCTGATCAACATAACCCTTTCACTCCTCATAAGATAGAAGCAATGAAATGATCAGACTTGAGATATTTCTCAACACGTTCTTATTTCATTTCTAACCATTCTAGTGGTTACATTGCCATGATAAATAAAGTAAATTACCCCATTAACAGATTTGACAGTGTAATTATTTATCATTATCTGATGTACAGATGAGGTAATGGTGATAGCAGGCAAATTGTACCCAACCTACCATTGAGCCACTTAGAGTCGTACTGCTCTGTTCGGATCATCTTGTTGGTCTCCAGGATCAAAGGATCACGTGAGGAGAAGTCAGACACTGTAGCTGAGTACAGCTTGCCACCTGGAATAAATAAAGGAAAATTAAATCTTTCATGTTACAGTCCTCATTGAATTATTGATCAAGAGCAGAATACTCCTGTAAAAGAATGTAAAATGATAAGGTCAATATTATTTAATCTGTTTCCTGGCTAACACTGTCTGATGTATCGAGGTTTCATTGTAGAAAATGCTACTGTCAGCTGCAAATTGTGGTCTGAATATATATTTAGAGGTTTATTGACTGAAAGGAAATATTTTTGCTGAATTTGTATTTTTCAAAAATTATCCAACACTGTAAGTGCAGCAAGCAGACGTCCAAATCTTGACTAATTCTGGCCCATTTTCTCCAAGCATGACCCCTGGGACAGAGTGCAGCGACAGGACACAGTTAAATGCTTCCTCACAAAGACTTTATCACTGGCGTTTAATTATTTTCCATGTCTCTCGAGACGCGAGCTAGTTAAGTTCAGGAAGTCACCAAACCTGATCTGTCATAAAGTTACACTTCGACACACCAATGTGGAGCAGAGTAGAAATACATGTAATAGAGGACAAGAAAGTAGTTCCTCACTTGGCCACCTAGTGGCAGCAGCACTGACATCTTAATAGCTGCCATATTGGATGGCATGTTTTTTCTAGGTCAGTTTTGAGTTTTGGCAAGGCCTGGAAGAACATGTATGGCGATTTATGGTTTATTTGTTCTAAATGTTGATAGCTGTGGTTGAGAGCAACATGGGTGTTGGCTGTCTGCGGTTGCAGAACCCATATCTTGATGTTTTATCTCTTTACCATGTTTATCTCATCCTCTTTGACACCACTGAAAGTATCCTTGAGCATTTATAGATACAATGTTATCCCTCACTCCACAATAAATCACATGTAGAACCTTTCCTGACTGACTTCCAAACCTCACTCAAATCTCCATAAAACTAACATATATATTCAATAGGTCAACGTAGTCTAAACCATTCACAAAAGTCACCCTTATGTACATGATGAATTGAACTTGTAATCTTCAGGGGGAGATAATGTACTTTTCTGCAACCCATCAGGCCATAATCAAGATCTCTGTTGACAGGCACATAATTCATATCTGGCTCCAATCATCAGTTTTCCTTCCCCACACCCAAGGGGGAAGGATGGGGCAAGATGTCCTCCCCCTCCCCCTACCCCATGAACCCTCAGTGATGGTTCGCCATGCAGACAGAAGCTATTATTCCAACTATCCACACAACGGTTCCCTCTAAGCTCCACACACTGCACCAGAGGGAATCGGATGTGTGTGATTCCTACCACATCATTAGCAGAATTCCTGGAACTCTACTGCTGTGCCTTTGTGTGAAAGCAGTTTATTATTCCCGAGTGTCGCCAATGGCAAGCAAATTGATCACTTTCACTGTCTTAACAATTCCGTGATTCACATCTTAACATTCAAGCTGAGGGCTTTCAAATTTTCATCATTCACAGATTTTCTTGAAATTACTTGGAATAATTATGGACTAAATTAGAATTTTGTAAAGCGACTCAATATAATATTTCAACTATCTCCCAATGTTGATAATTTAGTGGACCATAATTGCCACTTGCTGATGAGGGTCGCTTCAAGCATGTCCTATTTCCAATGATGCTTTTGGAACTGACCCTGTTGTGCTTAATGAGCGGTCAGCTGCCCTCAAAGGTAATCTCCCGGTCAAACTGGTCTGACCACACCAGGATATTACCAAACACAGGCTCGGCCATCAATCATGGAACACTGATTTATGTGGACAAAATTGTCACAAATTAAATAATCAATCAAAATTGTGCATCATAAATATTCCTCAGATTTCAGAGAAATATTTCACTAATTTAAAATCTATGCCATGCTAAATGTACTTGCCTGCATAAATGGCTGTGCTGTTTTGTTCAGGATCATAAGGGCACTGGGCTACACCATCTCGCTCCTCAATTCGTTCATATCCACTGAGCTGTAGGATAATAACAAGCATATGTTAGACGCATGACTCACAAAATAATTGACCATTTTCATATGGTTATCATGACTGAGCAATCTTAAGATATTACTTTGAGTATTCATTTGAAAGATAATTTTACAATTATTATGACTGTTCAATCTTGTGTCTTGAAATCGTAAAAAACATAACTTTTTCATGAAGACACTTACCCCATTCTGCTTGTATGTTCGACATTTGGGACGGAAGGCATTTGTTCCACAGGTGTATAACCTGTTGTTATCTTTCTTCACAATGACACGAATGTAATTCTGACATTGTTCCTGAAAAATAAATCATTTATATTTAAAATATTCAGTGCAGCCTAAAAAATATTTATGTGATGTACAACATACAAAATTTTACAAAGTATCAGACATTTTCATTTTATGTTTGGGGTGAGTACATAATAAGCATATTTTTATAGTTGACATGTATTAAAATGTATATGCCTGATTCATTTTGTATTACAAGAAAGGCAGGACCTCAGCAGCTGACAATGGTGCTGCGCCCACACTGAGGTCAGCCACCCATGCCACCTCTACATCTACATGGACCTTGGGCTTTCCTGGACTCAGTCAACACAAACGCTCCATGTTCTGTTTGTTTCTGCCTATGTACAGTCCATGTTTATTTTTGTCTATATACGTGAAAAGCAAACAAACCGAGCAGGGAATTAACAAGTCCGTATTTGAACTTTTCCATTGCGTGTTTGACTCAACTCTAATTTGATGCAAAGTAAATACTGTGTGACCTCATTGATATAAGCATATGCCTCACATTTTGACATGTTTTTATGCTTAATCTAAGACTCCCTTTAAGTAAATTCTTATTTTGAACAAATAATTTGATGCAAGGTAAATACTGTGTGACCTCATTGATGTAAGCATATGCCTAACATATTGATGTTTTTTAATGCTTAACATACATGTAAATCAAAGACTCCCTTCAAGTAAATTCTTAATTTAAGGAAATCTCAGGCAGATGTGCACAATTACATTTTACAAAATTAAAATACACTTTATGTTATCTTCATACTCATATCGTCTCCTTCAGAGCATCAAAACTTAAACATGATAAGGACAGTTGATATATCTGTCTGGTAAGGGACAAGTGGTCCAAAATACGTGATTTTATGTTTTTATGACAATAAATATTCCAGCATGATGTGTTTGTGATACGAAATCCCGTAACAGATTGAAAGGTCACAGCGCTTATCCGGAGTTGAGAAGGACGAGGGCTACTCTCTATTTTCGAAGTCACAAACGTGCTGGAGACCACGGAGCCGCAGTACACAGAGGACAAACGCAACAGGTAGCTGTGAATTGTGGCATAGATTGTGTCAAGAGGAGATAGAGGGAGAACCATGTACAGGTGTGGCGACCAGGTAGATACCTCGTTATCTCACTTGGTCTCTGTGTCAACACTGACGTGACTTAACTCATCAACAAGCAACACTGACAAATCTATTGCCACGAAATCACCTAATTCTTCCATGACATGTTCAATTGTTACCGACGTCAAACTGTCGCCAACATCACATGATGTATTTTCAAAACTGTCAGTTGATAATTACTCTGTTAACCAACACAGCACTCAGCATGATTTTGGACAGATTTCATAGTTTAATTTCAAAACCTATCCAGGATGTTGCTTCATACTTTGTTATTCCATTGTATCTATTCCATACAGTGACATTCATGTAAAGATGGGAGTGGAATATCTTTTCACTTTGATAGGAGCATGTCATAATAGAATTCCTTCTGCCTGACATGCTTGTTTACCAAGGCATCGGATACCAGCTTAGATACTGTATGTTTGACAACTAGTTTATGGGTAACACATATTCTTTTATCAATCTTGTCACTAAGATCTAAATTGCTTTTCCCTTCAACAAACCTAAAGAAAACTGGACTCCTTTCAATAACAATACAAACCACCTTTCAAATCTAATTTCAAGTTTTCTTAACAGTAAAATTCATGGGCCTAGTTAGAATTTCAAATTAGGAAAGGAGCATTTAGAATATAGTGAAAACACTTTTGCTGATATCATTCCTAGCATACTGTACACTACAGTGAGTCTCCGACTGATTTATGCATGAGTTTGTGACACAGAAGACAGCATGATCCACGAAGCCGATCAGTTCCCTTTGACCTGTGACCTTGACCTGAGTATTGTGTGGCAAACAATTCTTGATGCACAATGGTAAGTATTTGCTCTACAAGATCTCATCCACTCATACAAGCATGCACAGCTCAGTCTCATTTCCGTGTATCTAATTGAATTGTTTACTTTATCAATTGTGTTCTCCAATCCTTCCTGTCCAGCCAACCATCTTTATTATCAGCCATCGGTGACAATGGAAGCAAGTTTAGTTTTGTCAGCTTCTTTATTATAAGACATCCCATTCATTGATGCAGCCATACACAATCCCTTTGTCAAATAGATTTCCTCACTAATCAGAATCTTATACAGTGTGCAGTAGCAAGTCAAACACTTGTTCAACTTGAAACAGATCTAGCTCCCAGCTAATTCAGGCTGCATCATTTGTGAGTCTTCATCGGGAGTGTGAAGGGTTCGGAAATTGATTTACCGCCCAGTCGGGTTAGGTCTGTCTCATCTTCAGGTATCTTGATGACTTCGCCAAATACAGAACCTTTGATTACTTTTTTACACTTTCCATAGTCCTTCCTTTCGTTAGAGTTCCAGGTTAATCAACATCCTGGCTGACTCACATCACCTGGGCATATGTTCCTCAGCCAACCGACTGTAGTTCAGTGGGTGAGTTGGGTTATACCCCACTTTTAGCAACATTCCAGCAATTTCATTCTGGGGGAATCAAACTCAGACCGTTGTGAAGGCTTTGACCACTAGGCTACCCCACCACCCCATACTACCAGTGAACCAGGGAAACTAAATGGTGGAAATAGAAAATTAACCTTCACAATACTTTCTCTGTATGCCAACTGTGTCAGTGATTGAGGAGATTTTTTCCCTACATAATAGATCTATCAAAGAGGGCATTGAAGCTCCTCAGTTTTGATGTCTCAAAATAAAAATTGATAGTACTTACCGGCGTCTTCTGTTTCTTTGTACATAATTCAATGTCTGATGCCTGAGGTTCCCAGTCTATTCTCTGAAATCATGAAACAAATAATTTAGAATAGAAACACATACTTTTCAAGTATGGAGAAACACCTACGCCATCATGAGTGTAGAAACAGAACTCTCAGGGAGCTTCAAAACAATGTTGTTTGCCCATGGTCATAATTAAACAAGTTCCAAAGCTTGATGGAAGGAAATATTCACATCACTTAGGGCGTAGAGAAATATGCATCAAAAACTTACCGAGAATTCCTTTAGGTCAGCGAGACTGACATTATGTACAGCGTTTCTGTAACACAAAATGTCATCATTATTGTTGGGTCAGGCTGATCTTGTAAAACAAATACGAAGACATGAAAACACTTTTCGCATCTGTGAGGCAGCATTTAATTACATATAACAGTGGCAACACCAAATTCCAAAGATCTTATACCTTACAATTTTCCTTATCAAAATACAGAAGCAAATTACCTATGTACTTCAACAAATGATCAAGATGACACAAATGCTAATAATTAAGTTTTAAACTTAATTACAAGATGTGCTTTGTTAATATCACTTTGTTTAATTTTGATTTATTTTACAAATATACTTACTTTGCTCCCAACAACATGGATGAGGCATCAGACATCAGGAGTCTAAAGTGGTCAATTTCATCAATTCGTCCAGCAAATTTCTCCAAGCTTGCATCATTTTCTAGAAATGATAAAAAAAATAATGTCAACGATTGTGTGTTTAAATTGTGTTTCACTCTGAAACAATACCATCAGATCATGTTTACATAGGTGTCAAAGCCTGATTTTCACATTGTCTGGACAATGAGGCATCTAAGTGTTTTGCTAATACATTTACTAGCATGTAATTGAATGTCAACATAAGTATAGTGTTGCCCTTTCAACTAGTACTATTTATTCACCACTCTGTACTACATGCCAGCAGACTAGTTAGATGTGTTACTACGTGGCTCTCTGTGCATACATTCCCTACATTGCTGAAGTGTTTTTTTTCTGATTTACAGATGAAAGGGAAATTCGTGTCTCTCTCAGAAGTTGATTTGAAACTGGTTTGGTTTGTTTGTAAAATCTTCTAGTTGCTGCAACATTATCAGCTGTAGGGTATAACCTATGGGAAAAACATCACGCATCTAATGGCTGAATATTCATGATAAGCACAGTTTTATAACCTTTGAAACATAAACCCAGTATGGTGCAAAAGATAATGTCTTAATTCTGAAACACTTTTTAAAATATAACTTCAGTTGACCACATGTGGGTATTTGTTTGAAAGAACAAAATGTCCTGATTCATTTAAATTACCATATAATGAGTTTAATTTACAAAATTTAGTTGTTAGACAGAGATATGTGTGAATTATCAGTCAAAAGGTTAATGCTAGAACCCCTGGGCAGACAAACACTATATCATGTGTTGTGTGCGTTCTCCACTGCCATCAGAAGTTCACTCTCTCACATGACTGAGCATTGTACTGTATTAGGAGCAGGACATCAACTCACAGTAAAACAGTCCTCCATTGTTCCATTGAAAAAAATAAACCTCATCATGTACATTATCAATAAATGTACCCTACTTCCATGCAAAGCAGTGTTGAACACAAACATATGTCTCAGGAAGCATTCTCGGCATTATCTGTGCACAGGTTAAGATGGGGACACCTCTCAGATGTGTAATTACAGAAATAAAGATGGCAATCGTGGCTGAAGAAAAGACCATTGTTGGGCAAGTAGACATGACAATACCTAAAGACGGTCCTCATGGCAGACAGATGGTTGTTGTCAAAACAAGTTCCTTGATGGCCCACCTCAAGTTTATGCACTTTAGTTTAGTTAATGATAGTCTTGTTTCTACTTCATCTCATGCTTGACCTTAACTGTGAATCATAAACAAGTTACAGCGCCCCAGTATACAGTATTTATCATAAGGACGCTTTCACTTTCAGTTTGTTCACAACATAGGGTCAACAAAGATAAATCCATACTGTCTATATTTTATCAACTCATCTAAGAAAAATGGTTAATATGAGACACTGCTTCAGACCATGTGACCAGAAATCAATGTCCATGGCAGGTTTATCTTTGTGTTGACAGGAACAATGGGAGACCAGATTACCTAGCATGACCCTTCAGCCATTTGCGTGACCCTCCAGCCAATGGAGGACTATGGAGGACCGAGGAGGACCGAGGAGGACGTTACTGGCCAGGGGGCGGGACAGGCCTGAGGACCAGGCAGGGAAGATGGACGATCACAGTCTCCTTGATCTTGGCCCCCTCGTATCCCTTGACAACCTATCCTTGTTTCTTGTCATCTCTGTAATCCACTCATTGCTCAAGTCAAGTCTGGTTATTGCTTCAGATAGGCAAAGGATTGACATCAAATCAAATCCTACCATTTCTTACATAGGGTTGGACTAGGAGGCTTAGTGCTTAGAAACAAAATTAGCCTGTTCTTTCAAAATGGATCAACACCTATACTTTGATTTATTTGTGTATTAGCCCAACTATAGACTGTGCTGGTTAGTCTCAATTTCAGACTTCTCAAACGTCACTTTCAAGAGAAACTGAACATCATTAGCTCCCATATGCTCCTGGCTCCATGTTTCTACTTAATCCCAAGTTGTTCTGCTTTCAACGAAGATAAATCTGTTGTTTCGCTGCCTCCCGTTTTACTCTGAGCATGTTGAAATTCCATTACTTCATCACCTGACGGTAATTGAGTTCTGACTACCATTTCAACCCACGTAATTTGAGATGAATATGTGTGCAGGTACAAGCCTTAACTGCCATGATGCACTAATGCGAGAATATTGTTTCGTTTATTTGACATTATTTAACCATTGCAACTACAACAACAAAAGATTCTATGCTGCCTGATTGGTATAATGACCGCCTATAAATACCCAGACAAGCTAATGTATGTTGGTCATGCTACTCCAACGTTTTTGAACGCGTGATATTGATGGCGTGTCATAGTGTTATAACATGTTAAAACCACAGCGCCATCTACCGAGGTTCGCGCCACCTGGCAGGAAGTGGTGGAGATGGCACACTCCACAAATATGTCCCAGAAACCCTTTGAGCCCCTGAATACATTGCTTTCAACTTCACAAATATTGATATGCACATACTGCAAACAAAACACGCTTCATTAGCCGACAAGTAAGAACACAATATGGCTTTAAGTGCTGATAAAACAAATCTTTAGCCAAACACATCTTCTCTTCAAAGCTTTTTGTCTTTTATGTTTTTTCATCATCACTTAAACCTCACTCCACACGAAATAATCAATTCATGTATGATATCATAATGATAAAATGATGAAAAATTCATATTACAAAACATCAATGATAAGCCGCCTTTCAAACATATCACTGAACCCATTTCAAAGATTTTATAAGCTTTCTGCCTTGAAATGCAACCTACTTAAGATGGCCGACTTCAGCAAGAACTATCTAAGATAGCCTTATCTGCATGTTGCATGTTCCTGAGGTCTGAGAGCAGCATCAAGTGAATCTGTCTCTGCTCTTTGCCCCTGAGCTGAAATCTGTCTATTCCTCCCAAGGCTGAAGCCTACCATATGTATCGGTTCGAGTTTCACTATTGTGTAACAGAGACAGCAGCTTGGACAATAGTAAAGCTGAAAATAGCTGGATTTTCTTAGAAGGGCAACCAGCTGTTGTGATGCCTCCCCTTTGTTATGGGAGCAAATATCTAGAAAGTGGAGCAAAGATGGGCATGTTTCGGAGGCCTTCACAGCGTAATCAATGTTTAAAAAGTCTTCAGCTTCCCTTGATAACATCGAGCCACTTTTAAGTTTACAAGTCCGTATCATTTCAGGGGGAATGAACAATGATGAAAAATTAAGTTGTGAATAATTAACTATCCCTTAGGCATTAAACAACTCATTTCCAAGTCCTCATAATAAGAATGAGGTCATAAATACCCAGATGAAGATATATTAAAGTGTATAAAATTGTAAAAAGATAAAAATTACCAGTGAGTGAGTATTGTTTAATGTTGTACTAGCAATATTCCAGAAATATTACCGGGGACACCAGAAATGGGCTTCACATATTTTACCCATGTGGGAAATCGAACCCCCGGGCTTCGGCGTGATGAGTGAAGTAGGCATCCACTATCCAAATAACAATATGATGAACTTGGTTACAGTACTGATTGATATATCATATCCATCATGTTTGCTTGACTGAGGTTTATAACAAAATATTTTTCCATACAAGACCCCCTTCGCCTTCTTCTTGGCCCCTTTCCCCCTCCCCCCAACCCCTCGTGCCACCTCGTGCCACCATCTGCCTATCTACCCATGCTGTCCACCACGTGCAGTATGGAGCTACATGGCAACCTATAGTTTATAAACAACCCTCACCTCCATGGCTCTAACATACTGAACTAACTGGGAGTACTCTCAACATCACACAACACATGTTCATCCCAATCTTATCCCTTAGAGGAATACGATACCCAATCTGGGAAGGTAAGATTAGTGCTATTGCACTCCCAACAATGTAACACTGTCTCGCATTGCGTAAATTGCCAATTTGCGTAAAATTAAAACCCTGATAAAACTGTAAATGGGTTGGGAAGCTATTAAAGAAACGGGCAAATTTTCCTAACTGATAACCTCTCAAGAGTATTTGCGTAAGCTGAAGCACGCGACTGCACGTGTGTCAGGTTTGGGGTGCCTCTCGAGGCTTCACGTAGTGACGAAGATAAGAAATACACCAAAGGCTGTACTGTAGCACGTTAGCTGTCCCTGACCGATTCTTGTTAAATGTTACACTTACTGAATTACGGTGTTTATATTACGGAGGAGAATCGGGAGTACAACTCCCAGCACTTGAGACTCGGCCAGAATGCCTGCAAATGCCAACACATGCTCACCATACCGTATGGCCTACAAATCTTTATTGTCTTTGGATCAAATGTAAGCAATAGTAATTTCTCTCGGCAACAGCTTGCCAAGATCTATTTTATAGCAATTTGACAGCTTATAAAGTTTCAAACAACCTTGTACAACATCATGAAGACTCTCACGAAACCGAAGCCATTATTGCTGGACTAATATTCACACAATCATTACATTCCCAACAAGATGATGAATACCCGCTAATTTCCAGTGTCTACTGGATGGTCTCCCATGACTGCCTCTGTTATTACGCTCCCCTATCTAGTATCTGGCTCACATTTTCTGGAAAGTTGTGTAGTCGGACTTACCCTGGAGTTTATGAAGCAGGACCAACTTCAGCCACACTTGATGAACAAATACAACAGTGTCATACATGTCAACTATCTCTACCACCACATCCTCTCATAGGAAAACCTCCGGCTTCTGCTTAATAAATACTAAGGACATATTTCCCTTCCATGTCTGTTTATCTATCAATGTATCGATGTGTTCACAAATATAATTGATGGCAATATTTTACAGTTTGTTATACCCAATGAATGCCATTAAAACTTTCTGATTTCATTAACTCAACATTATAATATTTTTATCAATTTAGATCAAATCAAAGTTTTAATGAGATTATTATTTTCTAGTAAACTGCAATATAAGATGTGAACTTCTGATCCAATCATGACATTTATTCTGTGACATCAATCATTCATAATTTGAGTTTCCAATATCCCATGAAATCCACAAGAAGTAATACTATTGCTG